CTTCGGAGACTGGGCTGCAGGGCAGTATTCCAACATGATAATGACCCCAAACACACCTCCAAGATGACCACTGCCTTGCTAAAGAAGCTGAGGGTAAAGGTGATGGATTGGCCAAGCATGGGCATCCTCAAATGGAAGGTGGAGGAGCGCAAGGTCTCTAACATCCACCAGCTCTGTGATGTCGTCATGGACTCCAGTGGCAACCTGTGAAGCTCTGGTGAACTCCATGCCCAAGAGGGTTAAAGCAGTGCTGGAAAATAATGGTGGGCGCACAAAATATTGACACTGAACCCAATTTGGACATTTTCACTTAGGGGTGTACTCGCTTTTGTGGCCAGCGGTTTAGACATTAATGGCTGTGTGTTGAGTTATTTTGAGGGGACAGCAAATTTACACTGTTATACAAGCTGTACACTCACTACTTTACATTGTAGCAAAGTGTCATTTCTTCAGTGTTGTCACATGAAAAGATATAATAAAATATTTACAAAAATGTGAGGGGTGTACTCACTTCTGTGAGATACTATATATATATATGGCTTATGACACAATATATAATTTAATTTCTTATTATATTAATATTAATAAGACTTTTTTTTCTGTAAAATCTGCTATATAAATTGTCCATTTCTGTTTATTTTATTGCACATCTACTTTTATATTATTTTATAACAGGAACAGTTGTAGATAATGTAATGTTGACTGCTTCTTGTATAACATCATGTAAAAAAAAAATCCTCAGAGGCCCATATTTTTAAGTCACAAGGGCTATATTTTTAACTATAAGTCTAAAGTCCAGTTGCATAAATGCTTTTTTTCACTAGCATAGGTTAACCATGTACAGTATGTTTCTAGTTAATGGTACACATTAAAGAGAGGTGCCGCTATATTATAAAAGTAGATTTGAACTGACAGTTTGCACTGTTTTTTTTTTAGGTGTTTTTCATAATTGTCAGGTGGTGGCAAATTATAAATAGTAATAAAACATGTATTTGGTGCTCTTTACTTATTCTAGTTGTGGAAACATCAAAATATGTACAGCACTTGAATTCCGAAATACCTGTTTACCTTGCCCACATCAGCACTCATAAAAGACATTGCCATTATGTAAAGTGTTTGCATGAATTATTGCTAGTTAGCAACACAAATGTGGAAATCTCCTTGGACCAAAGATCATACAACAAATGCTTGTTTTGCATAATATTTCAAAGACTGACTAAACCAATTCTGCATTTAGAAGTTTACACTCGCTTATGAAAATAAACTCATGACAGAAATGAACTACTTCACTAAGGAGCACCATTTGGGTTTAGACATTTTTACCTTACCATAAAAATCATATGCGTCAAATGATTCAATTTATTCAGTTAATTAACACTAATGCTCAATGTGAATAATTAGAATAAGAATGCATTACCTATAAAATGAAAGATATGCATTGTGTTATTACACAATACATTAGTACACTATACACTAAAACAATGTAATGAACAGCTTTTTGTAAATAGTGTACTCTTTGCAGAAGGTTCGTATTATATAAACATAAACTATATCCCAAATAAAACTGTTCTTGTTAACTAGAAGTGCTTTTACACACACGGGCCCGTTTAACCATTTGAGTGCGACGCGTAATGCCATCTCACCCGGATATGTTGTATGACACCCAGTGTTATCATTTCCGGTGCACAGCAGAGCTGTGTGGATAGATCTGTTTACAAACTTCAATATTAAACAATAAATCTCTCGCATTATGTCCCGAGGCTCGAGCGCGGGGTTTGATCGACATATCACCATCTTTTCTCCTGAGGGGAGACTCTATCAAGTCGGTGCGTATCGATGAAAGTGTGTCTTTATTAAAGCGAAAGAAGAAATGCCCAGTCATTTTGCACCAGGATCATTCTGCACTTTTTTCTTGCTCAGACTAACGTGTTTATGGCAGCATTAAACATTAATTTGATTAAAACAGATGCAAAAAAGCATGAGCGGAATAGTTTGCTAGAATTAATTAGCGTTTTGTCACGTTAATTTGTTCTCGTATGTATTTTTCAGTTTTAGGTTACATGACAGATCCATCTGAATTCATTGTTTATAACAATATTGATAAAAGCACTTTCGGTTTCATGTTTATAATTATGAATATTATGCATGCAGAGATTTATTCAATTTTTTCACGTTTCACTTGAGCAGCTCATTGGTTCTGTCTTTTACAAGTCACTACATTTTATGCATTTTTTTCACCTTTATAGTCTGTATTGCACATATACGTATATTTTTTTTTTAAATGAAAAAAAAAAATACAATAACATATTTGTAAAATATTTTATGTATGGTTACATATTCTCTTGTATATTAATAAAATACCAATAATTAAATAATTAAACACTTGGTTGTTAATTTGCATTTTTTGAACAATTTATGATCATAGTTAACATGTTCATTTTATTTTCCACAGAATATGCATTCAAGGCCATTAATCAGGGCGGTCTTACATCACTAGCTGTTCGAGGGAAAGACTGTGCGGTTGTTATTACTCAAAAGAAAGTTCCAGTAAGTTTGTTTTAACTGTTTAATATAAACTCAATTGGATTTCAATTTACCTGCAACCTGTTCCATATTAACTATGCAAAAAATGTTTCGGTGACTCGATGGCAGGTGTATGAGCAATATTTGTGCATGCTCTTATTCAGTTTTCCTCTTTTAATCACCCAGGATAAGCTTCTCGATGAGTCCACTGTCACTCATTTATTCAGAATAACAGAAAACATTGGCTGTGTGATGTCTGGCATGACAGGTAAACTCATCTCAGCAATTGTCCAGCTTAAGTGAATTTTAGAATATCTCCTTCGGCTCTTTTGTACGGAGAAATGTAAAACTATGTATTATTTTACACCACATGTGATGTATTATGTTTCTCTGTGAAGCTGACAGCAGGTCGCAGGTGCAGAGGGCGCGATACGAAGCTGCCAACTGGAAGTATAAATATGGCTATGAGATCCCAGTAGACATGCTGTGCAAGCGCATTGCAGACATCTCACAGGTGTACACTCAGAATGCAGAGATGAGGCC